CGATTTTGCGCTTGCAGCCCACTATTAGCATGAATTAAATCAACACGTCATATTTTTCCCCCACCTTTTCCTTCCCTCCCTGTGTTGTCCTCAGAGAAAATACCTTGCTAGCCAGCTGACTACCGAGTCTCCTTGGCTTCCTGGCTTTGTCCCTCCAAAACTCCATCACGCTTCAGCGCCAGCAGGCACCTGAATTCTTCTCTCTCGCGTTTAAAAACAAAAACAAACCAGCTCAAAAGCCCAAATTTGCGGAGCAAACCCCGGCCCCTCTCCTGCCACGTCCGAGCCTGTGCTCCCGGAGGAGGCCTCGGGAAGGCTCTTCCTTTCGATGAAGGAGTGGAAGCAGGAGCCAAACACCGGCTGGTAGCCCCATGGGCCAGCAGCCACGCTACCCCAGCCCAGCCCGAGCACCCCAGGGCCGGCTTCCCCTCCTCTCCTCCATCAGCGGGGAGCGAGCCACCTCCGCCGGGGCAACCCAGGGCGGCCCGGACTCTCCCGGCTCCGGGAGAAGGGCCAAACCTACCGCGGGGCCTGAGGCGGCCACCCCGGGCCGGGCCGCGCTAGCCATCCTGGGGCTGATCCTCATGGCTCGGGGTGGGGGGGACGCACATACACAAAGCCAACGTTCCTCCAGCAGCACCGACGGGGCCCGGGCCTCCCTCAACGCGGCGTTTGGAGGCCGGTGGTGCCGACCGGGCCGCGGTGCCGCCTGTGGGGCCCGCCACGGCGAGCGGGCGGCGTTTACGACAGCTCCCGGCATTCCGCCGCGCCTACAACTCCCAGCCTGCCCCGGGCCCGCCGCCCTTAACCCTCTGTGGCGCCCGCCCGCCTCTCCTCACACACCCCCCCACCCTCCGCCATTCCCTCAGCACCGCTTCCCCGCCGACATCAGGCCGCCCCGGGCCCGCTCCGTTCCTCCGGCAGGGGAAGAGCCACCCCCGGCCCGGCTCGACCCGACCCGGCGGTGCTGGCTGCGGGCGGCCCGGCCCCGGTGGCGTCCCCGGCCCCGCAGGCGCTGTGGCGGGCGTCTGGTCCCAAGCCCTGCTCCCTTCTACCGCCGGCCGCGGTTTATAATTGCCCCCCTCTCTGCCAGTTAGTAAAAAAACGGGTGGCACATCTGTTTTTCCTCACCCTTTGTTACTTTAGATTTGGTTTTGGTTTTGGGGTTTTTTTCTCAAGTTTTTGGTTCAAATCACAGATGGCGTTGAGTCAACGGCCTCAAAAATAGCCTTCAC